CAATGTCCTCAAGTAATAATGAGTGACCTTTAAGCAGCTCATTTTCTAAATTTAGACGGGTTTGAAATAACTTGCGTATCTTATTTTGGAATTTTTTGTCCTTGTTTTTCATAAATTGACAAAAATTTACGGATGCTCTCTAAATAGAAAACAATTTTAAAAAATGAGAAACTGCTTCTTACGAGTCTTAAGGATGTTAAGATTAGCACTATAACGTCTTAGAAGGAGGAGAGTCTTTAGCTCAAAGGAAAGAGGCTGGTGAAGCTCTTTGTACTTCTCAATTAGTACCTAGTCCTTAGCCTTACGCTTAGGGATGAAGTCTTTGACAACGTTCAGGGCGAGAACCTGTTGAAACTAAACTTTCCTCAATATCCTCGGTTCCGTTCCGTCTACAGTATAAAATCGCACAAATCTTTGTCCTATACCTTAATAACAAACTGACAAGTTGTTCACTACTCAGCTTGTGGTAATTGTTGCTGCGGTGCCTACTTATTGAGTTATTTATGGCGTCGTGCCAAATTACAAGGCCGTTACGTTAGGAAAAGTAGTGATGAACGCAGTACTGTTTTGTTTTCTGAGAGTCCCTAGCGTTAACGTTCAAATTTAAACTGAGTTTTGTAAAGCAAGTATCTTTGACGCGCTTCTGATACAGAGCGGGAAGTTTTCGAAGCGCGTGATCCAAGGAACTAGCTCCTACAAGGAACACTATACACTTAAGGGACCTATGAGATGGCTACGTTACGCTCTAGTACCAATGGGGTTGGAAAATTAAGTAGGTCGACTGGTCTCCAACAACACACACACGGAGTAAACCTGAGGTTGAAAGAATTCAACATAACCCATTTACTGTCACCGTACCTGACCACTTAACATTACTGTAACGCAACGAAGTCAAAAATCGGACGGGCATTACACTTGAAGCGAACTGGCTTTCAGTGTCACCAAAGGTGGGTGGGGTTTCAGGCGAATTGGTTAAGTTCCAACAACACACGCGGAAGAAACCTGAGGATGATGAAACTCTAGTTTGCCTGATATTTCGCTACCAGACCATTTAACATAACGTTGGTGTTATCTTACAGCACAGTTTTGCAGAATTCTGGGGACGTTTTGAGGATTTTTTGACAGTTTCTTTTTACTTTTTTTCTCAAAGTTTTTCGGAAAAATTTGATCACAAGGTTCGCGCTGTAAACCAATCCAAAAACTAGTTCAGTACCTCTTGTCTATGTTCCAATTTAACTGAATAATATTTCGTTCACATTTATCCAAAAATTTTGGTATTGAGAAAAAATGTCAAGTAATTTGTCTAGTACCGATTGTAATTTCAACGGAACTGTCCGAAAATTTTGGTATTGAGAAAAATTACCGGGTGCTAGCTTGAGGGGAAAAATCAACATGTATCACATCGTATATAAATTTGTAGCACGAATGGAGAGTTCTAAAAGTTTTGGAACCTTCTTACAGTTTTGGAGATTGGGCGATCACCGGGAAATAGTTTCAGGAGTCGAGTAAGAAATCAGTTTCACGTGAACCAACAATCCTCTGCTGAGCCAACTACACTCACAATCAACCAACTACACTCTAATGACGTGAGCCAACTGCACTCATGCCAACTGCACTCTGCTGAACTAACTGCACAACTTCACTCTGTTTCTGTCAACTTCACGCTGTTTCGGCCAACAGCACAACTTTAATCTGTTTCGGCCAACTTCGGCCATTGGGTACTAGTCCGGGTCGTACAGCTTCTGAAAACAAGCTCTGAAAACTAGTCTGAGCGATTCGTGCAGCTTCTGAAATTTGGCTCTGAAAGCAAGTTTGTTCCTTGTGTAGCTTCTGAAAATTGACTCTGAAAATAATTCGGTCTGTTGTATCGACTTTGTGCTCTTCGGTCCCTTGTGCGCCAAAATGTGCGCTCAATCTCTGTACTATCTGTAACTAGGAAACGACATTAGTTAGACAAAGTTTTATTCGTATTTTCGGCAATACAACAAAATATTATTTAGCTCCGAATTATAATTTATTTCGGCACAAGCTAGCCACAAGAACCGGTAATGTCCTTGAGACAAATTGCTCTTTTTGGCGGTCAGCTTTAATCAAGGCTGAACCGAATTAGAACCCAAAAGACAGTTTATAAAGGTCAAGTGGGGCTATAGCCCCTATGGTCTACATGTTTAAGGTCTGCGTATGCGGGGATTCGAACCCGCGTCAACTGGCAAGTCTGTATAGTCGGCGTTACTGTAGCTTAGGCCACTCGGCCAATTGTGATTGTTTTATATGCATTTATACTCTTAAACGGATTTATACTCTTGTTACATTTGTGTAGCATCAGTCATATCTGCAAAAGCTAACGACTCGTGAAAATAATCGACTGCATCTGGTAAAATAATTCAGAAAAGACGCTTGCCACAAAAAACTCGAAATTTTGTGACACATGTGATTGCTTTTTTTGTCTTTTCGCAGAAACGTCTAAAAATTTTCTCAGATTTAAAACTTTATTCAAGCAAATTTATTTCTGATTTTTTTAAATTCGATCTAAAATCAATTGTTAAATTACAAAAAGGCACGCTGAATAAATGACTTGCAGTTCGAAATAAAGTTCCAATTTAAAAATATCGCAACTCGGTCGAGTTTTCTGGGGCTGGGTTGGTTTTATCCAAAAAAACTAAGCTTATATGGTTCTCGAAAATCAGAGGTTCTTGAGGTGCTATGTTTTTTTTGTTCATACTCAAAAAATGAAAAATGTACCGAAAATTTCAACAACTTTTTTTTTCAATTTTTGTGAATTAATTGAATTTTCCCTTTCGTTGAAGGAAACCGTTTATGAATTAATTGAATTTTCCCTTACGTTGAAAATAAGTTCAAGAAAAAATTGCTAACCTGTTAATTTTACGGTAGTCGCCTGTAGAGCCAAAAAGATGCACAAGAAATTTCCAGCTTCAAATATTTAGCTACGCTTCCTGAAGCAAACACGCATCGAAAACAAATGGCCTCGTCAAACGAGCCGGGTTGGCCAAAATGCTTGCCATACAAACTTCATATCTGTTAAAGTGGCTATCAAGCAATTTTGTACAATTCCATATGTATTCACAATTGTCTGAAAACCGTACGACAAGCATTTTTTTTGCATCTTACAAAATATGTACGACAAATTGCTTGGCAACTATGTTTCTATAAAACAAAAGTTCGAACTTCTTTTTGGTTTGTGTTTTGTCCGAAAACTTAATAACCAACGTTTTCTGCCATGCATGAAAACCCGTATCTTAAAAAGTAGGAATCACACAGGTGAACCGCATTTGCAAGATTTTTAATTAATTAAATTGAACTGCATTTGTAGATTTGTCAAAAGTCTTAGTGAATTAAATGTCACCGAGAATTATAACTAGAAACCGTAATTTTCTGTAAATCAATAGAAAAAAAATTACTTCAAAAATTTCGGTGGTTTAAAACTGTGGCCTACATTTTGACAGAATAAAATTTATCTTACCATTAAAAAACATGAAAAAGCTATTCACCCAAAACTTCATAGTCGGTTTTAATTCAATTGCACAAAAACTCAGCCTGGAGTACGTTACACACACTTTACACACACGTTACGCATGCAAAATTTTTCTTTGGTGGATGTTTGCTTCAGCATAGAAGTATTTTTGCTATAAAAAAAACCTCACACAAAATTTGGAACTTTTCAGAAAATTGTTCTAGTCGTCTTAAAAAAAATTGCTTATCATGCTGTTTTCATATAGAAAATTGTATGATATGCATTTTTTACCCCTTCAATGTATGGAATTGTGTGAAAAGCTTTTTTATTGCATGAAAGTGTATGATAAGGTTTTTTAGTTTATTGAGTGTTGGTGTTTTTCGATATTTCTGAAGGTCTTAGCTTCCAGATTAAAACTCGCGAAGTTGTTATTTCAGCGATGCAATTGACAATTAACAGGTATTTAGTCTGCACTACGGTTCATAAAATTTGAGTTATATCATGGAGATTGCATTGTCCAAACATGTCTTTGAGAATCACATTTTTTTCAATATCATAGCCAGCTCGTCATTCTGTCAATGTAAATTGAACCCTCAATATTTTCAGGTGAAGTTCATACACTCTTTCACTTATCAATCCCAAGTGAAGAGAAAACCTCTGCGAAATTCGGGAAACAACGGCGCCGCTGTCGGAAGCAACTAGGCTACGCCTCTAGGCCGAGGTCTAGCGAACAATTTCTCATTACGTAACAAAAAGCGAATGCAGAGTGTGGCAAGAACTTTTACTTCTACAATGACATTGAATAAGTCGTACTTGCTTCTGATTGGTCGAGGCATAGACGGCACGATGCAGTCTTCGTCGTCAAACAGTGCTTACATGCTTCATCTGAGAGTGGTCCTGACACAATTTATTATGTAGTGCTACTCCAGTGAAAACGAATCCCACCAAAACTGATTCCTTAAAATCTACTCAAACAATATTTTTCAAACAATTGATGATAATTACCTATTGATGACTATTACCATTTTGATACAGAAAACACTAAAGGGAGAATTTAGTGTGTTGTTGAAACCCCTTATTCGTAAGCTGTCTGTCGTTTTTTTTGGTTTAAATGTTCCAAATTCAGTGCAACTTTAGACTTAAATTCGCTGCAATCAACCGTTTCATTTTTTGAAGCAATCATTTTTTGAGCTATTTTATTTCTATCAAAATAAATATCAGATTAAATTCAAATCATCAATTTATTTTCAAGTACATATATGCTTGTTTTTCTCAACAATCGCACAAACTTGGAGATTTCTGATGGTTTTTAAGGTTTATCGAAGCTGTTTTCGTTAATCTCAACTTTTGCATCTGGTTTTTTCATGATAAAATTTGGTGCAAACAGGTTTCCTCTTGACAATCCGAGTCTTCGTCCTCCTCCACAATTGCCCTGAAGCTGCTGAGAGGAACTTGCGATGCCGAACTTCTGGACTTGTCTCCGAACTCAGAAGTGATAGTGTGGGCAAACTTGGTGCTACTATTGAGTTCGGAGACAAGTCCAGAAGTTCGGCATCGCTAATTCAGCTCCTTTCTATTGGATCTCAGTGCAGAGGGCGGGTTGTAACCCAGGGATGAATGATGATTTCCCTGGACTCCTGGTAGCCCGTTGGGAGGAGGGTAGTACATATCTGGACTCCTTTCTATAGCATAGATTGGCGACAGTGTGTTAGGATTCAGATTAGCTGGGGTTGTTGTGGTGGCCACTTGTAGTTGTTGACTTCTCTTCGCATGAGATCGACCATAAGTGCCCATTTCGGAGGCTAAAGGGGAGTCCACTGCTGAGTCTGCGCCAGAGGGTGAGAATGACGAAGGGACCAATCTGGATCCCTGATGGTGCGGATATCCAGGCTGAAATTCCTCTAAGGCGTCCTGAAACATCCAAAGCATTTTTCAAAAAAATTTTTCATTATAAATATTAGATGAGATAATTTTATTCACAAATTATCAAGAAGGTCAGCTTGCTTAAGAAAAATACATAGTTCAAACCATTTTGCAAGTTAAGGTGCATGCAACAAAGCCTAAAAATACCAATAAAATATCAAACAATCTTTCAAGAAGTCTCATTACACATCTGTTTTATTTCCAAATTACTTTTAAAACTATCATTATACTTTCTTTCTGGAAAATAACCTTTAGCCACAATATATGCAAGCAGTGGTAATAATTCAACTACCTATACTAAACTCGATCGCTCTACTTTTGCAGCTGTTTTCTTCTTTTGCATCCCATTTAAGCTCTTAGAGTCTGAAATGTATCTTCATGAACCCGAGCTGAACCGGGCCACCTTTTGGCACACATCTGTCAAATAAATCAACTAGAAAGCTATACCTTTCTTGTCCGATAAACAGTCAATTCTAGCACAGAACTTTTGCACATGATCCAAGTTTCTAATTTAGTTCACATTATAAAATCTAACAAATGGCTGCGCGTATATGAAACTACGAATTAGATTAATGTCCATTAATAGATATTCTTGGGTATTACAAATCAAATCCATACATTAGTTACAAACCTGGCCACGAAAAAACATTTAATTGTTTCGAAACATTTTAGGGGAAAACGTTTGGACAGAGACACAGCTGCAACTCGCAGGCATCGGCAAAAAATGTTTCAAATGAAGAGAATGAACTTCAAGAGAACAAAAATGAAGCTTTGAAAGGCTCTTTTCTATTATATCACCCCAGCATAATAGTAAAACCACAATTTGAAGGCTATAAACTTTTGTGTTACTAGTCTTGCCTGATGAACACCCTTGATCACGGTAAAGACAACACAGAGAAAAAAAATCAAACATAGCCATCAGACAGTTGGTAAAGAGTCAATAAACGAAAGTAAACAGAAAAAAATTCTGACGTGTTTTTGGAAAGAATATCAACTTTCGAATTTTAAAGAAAGAATAGATGCACTTAAAGCTCTTTGAGTTTTTAGAATAACTTATGATTGGCACTTTTTTGATAGAGTTAACCTATTTTGAAAAAACTGGATGCAAAGGTTACTTTTATTTTTCGATGGGAATCTGAAAACCAATTTAGAAATTAGACGACGATCATGTTGTTCATAAGCTTTACAATTTTGCTAATTGATAGTGGAGCTTGCCTTAATTTCACGAAAGGAAATCAATTCAATTTAAAAAGAAGAAGTCTACCGCGAAATATCAAATTTGTTCGTGAACAAATTTTAAGACTTCATGAAAAAATTACCACGACCTAAGAGTATTCACTACGTACATAATGTTAAAAAGGCCAGCTGTTTGATACTGGAGTTTGCCTTCCTTTTAACAAAGGAAACGAACTGAACTAAGAGATATTAAAACTTTTCATGAAAAATCAAAAAAATCATTACTACCTAAATAAGAGTCAACTGTGCTACCTCAATAGCAATTGAATGTCAAAGCACATGCTGCCAAAAAGCCGTAAAAGGGCCATCCAAAGTGACAACAAAATTTGTTATAATAGATTGGAAAAAAGAATAGTCGCACTATTATACTACGCTGGCTAGTGTAATAAACCGGATATAGGACCCTCAATCTGTTTAAGTAAAGCAGAAACTTTGTACTAAAATGTTCAAAAAAATTTGAAAAAAAATGAACTCGTATTTTATTACAAGCTCCTCAGGATCTCCATCAATACTCTTTTGGTCTAGGTTCAGACTAACCGGCTCATGCGATGATGAGTTGGCCGAGTCCGAATCACCTTCCATTCTCTCTTCACTCGGATCACATCCCGTCAAAGCCCCCACGGCCCTCATGTAACCCATCCCCCCCCCCCACCACCCTCGAACCCCCCTGCCCCTCCCATTCCCAACTCCATACTTCTATGTTTGCCCCCCACACTCCCCATGGGTGACATGGGTCTATGATGGGCTAAACTGTTCTGAAAAATGTGCAAACCTCCCCCTGTTTCGCGTCTCAGAGATCCCATATTGTGTTTTGAAGGCGTTCTGTCTAACGCGGGTACGCTGTCGAAAATTGCGTTTGTTGAGTTGGGGTGTGATGATGTTGACATTTGCACAGTGGTGCTGGCGATGGAATTCCGATTCAGATCGGATGAGTTCGGAAGGTAGTCTTGCATCTCTTGATCCTCGTGGATTCGCTGCAACATCGTATCTACACAAAACAGTCAAACAAATTACATCTATTTCTATGAAGAAAACATAACAATGAGAAGTTTATATATCTTTTAGGATAGCCAAACTCAAAATGCAACCACAGAATCTTCGTTTCTTGGAACAGCTGTCAGTTTTAACTGTCCAGAACTGCGGGAGTGAGGCTATCAAGCTTGATCGATTGAGTTTGGCCACACATTTCAAAATATAGTAAAGGCAAATAACATTGACAAAGTGGGAATTAGAAAGTTGGCATTGCGAACAATTAGAAATGATGCACTAGTGATCTTCAATAAAAACACTCGAAGGATAAGTTTGGTTGAGTATTTGTTGTTTCGTTGATGTCACTCAGTTGTGGGGTTTGTTTGCTCAATTTGTGTGCCACAAACCTTCTTCCTCTTTACATGTTTCTGCATTTGTGCTATAGTGCGAAGAAGCCCATGTTATTGCTTCCAGTAATACTGAAAGATAAGAGTGCTCGACTGGGAAGAACAACAAGATAAATCATGGCAAGTTCATTCTAGACGGTGATGAAAACGTTTCGAATTAGTTAGATTCAAGTTGCACAACTTTGCAAAACTGAAATAAACGAAAACATTTTTTTTTGCATTTATAGACATCTATAAACATTTATCATTTAAATATTCATGTGCATAATACTCTGCACTGATTGGGATCCCCCTCAACAAAAATCAACTTCATCATAACTTCATGGAAGCTGGGGGGTCGCTGCTTTGATCTCACCTCAATTTTTATTCTATAAAGTTTATACCCTGAGTTTTAGAAAAATAGGTCATTTTTAGAGCTCCAAAATTGCTAAAACTTCATGCCTGTTTTTATGTGTAAGGAAATTGTTGACTCGATTTAGGCAGGATATTATTCAGACTTGGTACTCATCAATTCAAGACCCCACCATCCCAATTAAGACCGCTCATTTTTCGACACCCGCGAATTAAGTACTGCCGAGTAGTAAAGGTAAAGGCCGAATTTGAAATTGCCCCTTAAAACAGATTCTATTGAGTGCCGAAGTAAAAAAAGTTTCAGACTTTGGTCTGGACACATGGAAAGCGATACGAAATGGGTATGAATGTACACATAATGGACACTAATTTATACACTCACTTCAAGTAGACGGCAATCATTATTAGCAAAATCGCCCAGAAAACTGGTCACGGTTTTATTTGAATTGACGACAACTCACATTGTATTGGCGGAGCAGCCCTATGTTTTCCTGTGAACCATTCAACCCTTTAATTGGAAGCTTTTTAGTCAAAAACGAGAAAATTAAGTTGATAAAAATTGCATCGCACAAATTTTCTTTCAACATGGCTATGTGGATAGCTTCTCGCTGCAACGGGTGTTCACTATATTATGTTTCTGAAAAACGCAGTGCAACACTCTTGTTCATTCAGACAACAAAAACACTTAGATGAGCGTACCTTTGTGGATGTGGTTTCTGTTGCTGGTCTTCGTTTTGCTAGTCAACTTGTGAATGGTCATCTGCACTTTCACCTCACGGATCAAAAAGAGGAAGCAGAAAGCGAGGAGGATGATGATAATCCATGCCTGGTAGTACCAACTCTCACTCGAAGAAGAAGAGGCGTCACCTTTAGCTACCAAATCCACTTGACCCTCTAAAACGAAAATGAGACAGTAGATTAAAAACTGTTGGATCCTTGAAAAAATAGAGAACTTTCCCGAATTATAACTTCATTTTGTACACGGCAGGGCCTAGTATTTTCGCCAAGTTCATTTGATAAGCCAGTTAGTAATAAGCAACCGTTAGATACTATGTAAAGGTCTGGTGCTATAGATTCCTCATAGACAACTAAATTTTTTGCGAATTATGTAATCATGTTATTGGGTGACATGCTTTTATTGCCTCTAAATAATTTTGTTCACAAATCCATGTTTTCAAGTCAAATTTGTCATTCAAATATTTTAAAGTTCCGGATAATACTAGTGCCGAATTACTGTTGCATTGTTTAGTTGCGTTGCGACGTTAGCGTAAAAAAGCATTCCGATGTCTGAATGGTGGCAATTTTTTTCAAATTTCAAAATACTGAGCACCAATTTGGTTATTAATTGTATCACTTGCCTGGGCTATATGCAGATGGTGGTCCTAGGAGCCCCTGTCCATTTCTGTTGATGGCGGCCACTGCAATCCACATGTAATCACAGTAGTAGTAAAACCAGCAGTGGCTACTTGGGTTCTATGTTGCAGTGGCCGCCATCAACAGAAAGGGACAAGGGCTCCTACTTCTACTGAGTCCAGTCATGATTCTGTCCACAGAGGGGTTTCCAGTCTCGTTTATGTTCACTATTAATTTGCATTGCTTCCTTAAGGTCTTATCCACTAAGAGCGCTTCCGTTTTGAAACGATCTAAACATACAACTGATCAATTTGAATCCCTGGATTTTATGCCTGAGCTGACGATCGTCTCAAAGTTACTATGCATATTGGATGCATAGCTGATTTATGCATTCAAGTTTACGCAGTTCAATTAAATGACATATATTTTATCCCTTTAAGTGAAAACTGTAAATTTCATTTAAATTAACTTTTATTTACCCCAATAACTAGTAATGTATCCAGCGATATGAGAGTTTTGAAGTCTAAATACTCAGAGTATGTTGACTTTTCGTTTTGACACTTCGTTTCGAATTTAGGACGACAAACTTGACTTCAATTCAAGTTATTGGGGTAAATAAAAGTTAATTTAAATGAAATTTACAGTTTTCACTTAAAGGGATAAAATATATGTCATTTAATTGAACTGCGTAACTTTGAATGCATAAATCAGTTATGCATCCAATATGCATAGTAACTTTGAGACGATCGTCAGCTCAGGCATAAAATCCAGGGATTCAAATTGATCAGTTGTATGTTTAGATCGTTTCAAAACGGAAGCGCTCTTCTCGTAATCCGGTGGATTCCACTGCACTTCCAGCTCCCCTTCTTCATCTTTGTTTCCATCTTCAGACCTCTTAAACCGTGGCTTCCCAGGCACTGCCGGTAAATCATTTCTGGATCCCATGAACACCTATTCAAACACACATCTACGACCTCAAAATTTTCTATGATGTTAACGCTATCGAATTCAGTATTTCCTTCACTTGCTTGCAATATTGATAAAAACCATTTTGGTTCAATTTAATGTTAGAAGCAATTTTTGGCCTTAAATATTCTGAAGCGTTTTTCCTCTCCGGAAAAAACGACCTCTTTCGGAAATTACTACGGAAAGAACATTTTTTGAGTATTTTTCAAAAATGGCTTGAATGCGTTTCAAACAATCAACTGAAATGTCCCAAAAAAAACTCAATTTGATTTGATTCTTCTTGCAAATACCTCGTGCGCGACTGGATCTCCGAACCCCTTTCTCGTTTTGGCTCTGATTGAGACAGAGTAGGTGTGGCCTGTCTGCAGGTCGCTCAGAGTGACTGAGTTGGAGGGTGAGTGAGGGTCAGTGATGAAAGAGGATGCGAGGAGAGAGGCACTGTCCACTTCGGAAGTCTCCACTCTAACTTCTGAAAGTAAACAAGATTACAACAATGACTATTTCTTCTACTCTTTATACAGTCCATCTCTCTTATTTCTCCGCCGTTTCTCTTATTTCCTCACATTCCAGACTAAAAAGAGTCCTGAGGGTCGAGATTTTATCCTATTTGGTTTACTGGCGCGTCTTTTTTTCTCTCCTAACCAAAATTTCAAACCGCAAAGAAACTCTCTTTTTTCGGACCCGAACGACTAAAAACTGGTTCAGAAACCTGATATGTTAGCAAAAACGAGAACTTTATCAAGAGTAATTTGGTAATAAGAAAAAGATGACTAATTCTTAAAGACCTTCTTATATGGCAAGATGCATTCAGTTTAATTTCGCAATAAAATATTATAATCTTACCTTTAGCCCGGTAGGTGATCAAGTAGTCCTCAATTGGTCCCTGAGCAGGTACTGGACTACTCCACTCAACCACCACAAGAGAGTCAGTCACGACATCCACTGATAATTTCGAAACACTCGACGGCACTGAAAAAAAAATCTTAACTAGTTTGAAATTTCTAAGTTATTTTCTATAGCAATCGTTATTAGAAAAGTGATGCCCCGACAACTCATGAAATTCAAGGGAACCGACAAGTCGCTAGCTTTTGGACTTTTGTCAATACTTTTAATTAAGAAAAATCTTTTTTAGCCAAACCCGAAGACTGCTTATCCAATCTTATCACTGAAACAGTAAGCTACCATTTTCTTTTCAAGTTTTTTTTCTGGCTCCTTCCCATTATTGCCCCTAATAATCATCATCAAACCCCCTTCCCTATAATAGAAAAATTACAGTAAAGTGGAGCTATACATCAATTACTAGCTTTTTCTAAATTTCTTTCTTTTTCTGTAGTCTTTTACAATTTTTAAAGATGTAAAAACAATTTTCTTTGGCTGTTCTCGTTCATTCTTAATTTGATGATTTTATTGATTTAATATCTTCATACGAGTTTCCCACATACGAGTAACTAATCTGACTATGTACCAAAAATTAATTAACTAGGTTATTATACTAATGCATCGACTATGTTTTAGCAATTAAAGCGCTCGCGGACTAAATCCCCCAGGATAAAATCCCACTGGGTATATCCCCCAGGACAAAATCATCCACAGGACAAAATCCCCGTACGACAAAATCCCCATATTTTATTCATGTTTCTATTGATTCCACTTTGAATTGACTTCCATTTAAACATTCAGTTGACTTCCTATAAGAATGAGCTTTGATTGCAAAAATTAATAAGCCACGTGGCAAGTCAGTACGACAAGTGAATGGAAAATAAGGTTGATTCTTTCAGCCCGAGTTCAAATCCCAAATAAGAAAATTTATGCAATCAAGGTAAAGGTCTGTTAAATCTACCCCAGGGGTCAGAAATCCCAGGCTTCCACTACGAAAGGAAGCCCTCATTTCTTAAAAAAACATCCTCTTTATTGTGTCAACATTTCAGACCCCTAGGACCACGGAATGTTGATTTTGGGCAGGTTTGAAATTTTGATCATAATTTTGAACTTTATGTTGACTGATAAACAAATTAACGCCCCACATAGTCCCAGCAAAACGAATAGTGCAACAGGTAAGATGCCGGTTTGCGTGCTCGCAATTTAATCCCCCCATTAGCAATTAAACTTTTGCCTCTGGCAAAGTAAACTCAAATTTGAGTTAAGCAACAAAGGGGGCCAGAAAGCGTTTCACAATAACTATGCTTACTAAAAGAAAATAGAAGTAGTCAATTCTATTCAGTGGGTGTGCGAGTTGCGGCAATCAAAGCAACAATGTACGGTAAGCATATGGACTTCAAAGTAAGATTTTCTCAAATAGTTGCCACATGAGCACACGCACGGCGCGAACTATGCTTTAATAGAAACGTATACCATTAACGAACCGATCAAAGCGGACGCAGCGGCCTGCACGGACTCTTCGACACAAGACACAAAAGGTGTTGTCAAATGCCCCGGCGAAAGCCACACCAGAACGCTCCTCGAAGATGCCGGCGGTGCCTCACCCCAAACGAAGGTTCAGAAAAATGCGACCTGAAACTCGTAGCCAGCCACCGATCCGAACAGGGCTCGATTTTTAACTTCCTGTTAAAGACATGCAAACCATGAATGGAGAGGATTTTCTTCTTGAGGATTCGACAGTTCCAGGAACCGGTAAACGATATTTGGTCTTCGCAACCAACAAAAACATCGAAATCTTAAACTCTTATAAAAACTGGTTCATCGATGGAACTTTAAAAGCTGTCCTGATAACTTCTACCAAGTATACACTGTCCACTGTCCTCTGTATCTAGTCCCTACTCCTTGATAAACGTTAAAAAACGTACAACGCTTTCTGGTCGAACTTGAAAGCAGATATCCTTCCCCCCAGTTCAATCATAATGGACTTTGAAATGGCTGGAATCATTTCTGTGGGTGACAACTTTCAAGACACAGAATTTGGTTATGCTGTACAGCATCGCGAGGAAAAATAATTCAACCTGGCTATACGTCTTATAGCTGCTCTTGCGTTTGCCCCGCCCTTACACGTAGAAGCCTGCTATTAACAAATATTAGCAAGTTACCATATTCCTGACGACATCAAGGATTATTTTGAAGACACCTTTGCAGGCAAAGAAACGCTAAACTAGACGAGACGGAAATCCAGATTCGACATGGTTATGTGGAACGTTTACTTCAGGAACATTGACGACCTCACCAGGACAAACAACGCCCTTGAAGGACTCCACCGTGGATTCGAATCCATGCTCCAAATGTCAAATCCTGACATAAGGAAATTCATTGAGGCGATTCAGAGGCAGCAATCACTGCAAAATTTTAATTTCGCTCAAATGCAGCTCGGCAAAAAAGTTTATACAGGGAAAGAGGATAATTTTGGGAAGATCAAGAGAAATCTTGATGCTCTGCCGTTAACTACAAAGAGTTGGATTATCTTAAAGCCATAGCTGTTAACTTTTCCTTTTAGTTTTTAGTATTTAATCTATCTACTTCTTTTTTATTAATAATCTTTCATCAATTAATTCAAGTTTTAGTGTCGCTGTTTTATTCAATTCGAATGTGGGGGATTTCAAACTAAAAACTGGGGGATTTTGTCCTAGGGGGGTTTAGTCCTGGGGGATTATATCCGGTGGGATTGTATCATGAGGGATTTTATCTTGGGGGATTTAGTCCTGAACCCTAATTAAAGTGTTTCTTCCTTTTCTTTTTCTGTTTACATAGCGCCTATGTCCGTGGTGACTGTGATTGGATAGGAGAGTGGTCCCAATCCCAGGTGGTTGAAAGCACCCACTTGGAACACATACTCAGTGAAGCCCACTAGACCATCCACAGTCAAGGAAGTCCCACTGTCACCTCCCCCCACTGCTCCCAACTCACACGCCATGTGCAGTTGGGACTTGCCATAACACACCTGGACAGAATTGACCGGTTACACATGACCAAACAATCAACAAGAAATTAATTCTCCAAAGTTTTGGTGCCTTATCATCTTTTTTGTTAAAAAAAAATCTGACAATATTCATTTATAAACAACTAGTAAACCAAACTTAATAACTTGGTGAATAAACCTAACGCTAAACACTAACCACCCAGAGTCATTAAGATAGACAGAAAAAAAATCAATACTATATCATGTCCAATTATAAAATAACTTTCAATCATTTCAATCAAATATGCTACCAAAATCTTCACCCAATTCTTGACCGCCAATCCTAAAATTTGACGAACACCAAGAAGGCTTATGAATCAATTATTGCCGGGCCAATTATGATTATCAGTTATCGCATCTCCTTATTTTTCAACGATATCTCCTCAAAGACCGCTATTTGATCTCATTATGTGTCATTTTTTGCGAGAACAATACCTGGTATGCGTTAATGTTGAGAGCACCTAGAACCGAGTTCTAGTTCTGACTGGGAGAGTGGTGCCGACTCAGTGTCACAAAAGAAGCGCCGGCACTCCCTCGGCCACTTCCACTTTCACTCCCGAGGTGGTTTTGTTATTTCTAAAAACAGGTGCAAACAATCAGTCGATACCATAATACAACTTCATTCATATTGACACTGTTTAAACGATAAACACTATCTCAAAATCATACAATGCGGCAAAAATTCTGAATTAGGACGTATGATTTTGATTGAACGCTTACCACGGTGTTCGCCTCAGAAAATAGTCATTTTAATACAAAAAAAATGATTTTAAACAGGGCCTGGGTCTCACTTGGACACCATATATTTTTCATCAACAGATCATACCATCTCTTTTCTCTAACAATGAGTCCAGCTAAAGCTGGAGGTACCTGTTGGATAAATTTTTATTTTTTTTTGTACTGATGCGGGATGAAATAGGTAAATTCAAAAATTTAAAAACTGGGCTTCACCCAAAAGCTACTTATTGCTCTATCAAAATATGAGTGAAATTTTAGTGATCTTGGAATTTTCCCAGAGATATATTTTTTGAACAACCTTTAAGGCGTAGCATCTCATGCACGGAGGCTTCCCGCAATATGTTGCCTCGATTTAACATTTGATACCAGATGAGTTGTTTGCGAGAGGCCCAAAAATTTCAAAAAACTGACAAGAAATAAAAACATTGAATTTTCTGAAGGCCATAACTTTTTTGCTAGAAAATTTGGATGCGAGCGCTTACACAGGGGAACTTCGCTCAACCTTTCATTGATTGAAAGCAAAAATCTCAGATTTGCAAAAGTAAATTTCGAGAAAAGTCAAAAAGATTTTAAAAAAAGTCAAAAATTCGAAAACTCGACTTTTCTGAGTGCCATAACTTTTCGGTAAAAAATTGGGCATAGCCGCTTACGCAGGGAAGCTTTTCACAAACTGTTCTATACATTGAAACCATAACCTCAGATTTGGGAGGGTAGTTCTCGAGAAAAAATCCAAAATTATGAGTCAAAAAAATCCCCCCACTTACTTTTTCGAAGGCTGTAGAAAGTGGGGTAAGGTAAAAAGAGAATAAGAATTATACAGGCACAGAGGATAGTGGGCGGACTTCCTATAGGTGCCATTTTTTTTGAAAATCGTCTCTACTCACCGTCCTGTGTGACGAAGACGTAGAACAGGTGAGTCCATGGTCCTCTTCCCATCTGATAACACACTGCCAGTCTCATCTCATACATGCTGTTTAATTGCAACTGCCTACCACTACTCATTCTACTACTGTCTCCCGATGAAAACATGCTCTGCCAGTCGGCTAAAACACACAAATTACATCACAAATAGAAAAACATAGCCAAACGACAGAGGGAGAAGAGTCAATGAACTCAAAAAATATGTTTTTTTTTTAACATTCGAAGAAAAAATATCACGTTAAAGCTCTTCCAATTTCAAGAAAACTTTATATATAAGAACTAAAACTCCCTGCCTTTATCAAATGAATTGAAAAGGAATTTAAAAAAAAATCAAACTAACAAAGCCGACAAACAATAGGACGAAAAATTTATCTGAGAAAAACAAACAGGTCCTGCTCAGATTCGAACCCTCGACCTACACCATTCCAAGCGTAATTGCTCTCTTCAGGCTAAGTGTGCCGGAGATGTTAAGAAATTTGAATTCATTATTAACCAAGGTACTATAAGGAGTTCGTCTGGAAATTCGGAAAATCTGTTAGTCCTTTTTAGAAACTTTAAAGCATTCTTCACACCATTTGCATTTATGTAAATGAGAGCTAAAAATTCCTTCCTTCAGCAAACGAATTGAAACAGAACAAAAAATCATATTAACAAAGCCGACAAATAACAGGCCGAAAACTTTATGTGAAACAGAATATTTCTCGAGATTAAGGATTCAGGTGAGTGCTGTGGACAAAGCTGCCTACGTGTGATAAAAAAGTCTAGTATAGGGGTACTAGAATTCAAAGTGGTAACCTGTAGAAATATCCTTGCTAATCGCCAGTGTAATAATGACTGACACTTTTGAGAAGAAACAACGAACCCATGTTGGGAAAACAACCAAATCAGTAGCTGTTTTTTTCTACTACACAGTCAAGTCTTAACAATTAAAATCCACATTTGCTATAGTGAGCGGAAAATCACTATATACTACGATTGCCTCATATCACAGATGACTGCTTGAAAAAAAAACAGGACTGCTCGTAAATCAGGACAAAGCCTTGAATGTTCTAACAGCGCTTTGAAGCCAACAAAAAAGTTTTTGAGTGAAAACTTGATCTATATTTTTTTCTTAATTTTTTTCGTTTCCTTGTAACCCACACGCTATTTAAAACACAAAGCGATGGATTAAGGGTATTGTAACTAAAGATATGGCCAAATGACTAGCCTCAAGTCGAATTGACCCGATTGAATCCGTCGCTTACGGACAGCATATCTTCCTGATGGTATAAAAAGTTTCAGTCCAAAACGCCTAGCTAAATAGTGGAAAATTGGCTGAATAAAAAAGCATATATAATCCGCTCGTTCTTCGAAAGTTGGAACAACAAGCAACAATGTAAGAGCCTTAAAGCAAGTATGTAGTGCGTGTCAAACTAGCAAATAAGTTTTTCGATGAAATGTGAGGCTTGCTTCGAGAAAAAAAGGAATCGTATTATTACACAATCTGCTCTTGTTTAATGATAAACAGTTAATTTCACAGATTAGAAATGCAAACCTGTTGAATTCTCTCTCAGCTTGTACTGTAACTCGTATTTGACTAGATTTCCATTCAGTTTCTTGTCAGAGACTGAGAGACCGGATAGTTCTACTCTGCGTGACTTAATTGTGTAGTCTGGTATACTCGGTATTGCGTCCGGAACTAAATCAACAACAGTTATAACTGTAGATATATCGGCAACTCCCATTTAACTTTATTCATTATTATTAAATTTCATCATAATTATTCAGTATCACAAAATGGATCGTAGTCACCATGGGCTTATCAAGGAATTTCTCGAGGGGGAAGGGGGCGAATTTTCAAAAAAAAAAGAAAATTTTGTCTACCTTTTTTACTGATTTTCCGAGCACTCCCAGAACACTATAAAGACCCTATTTTGACCAGAAGCTTAGCGCAGGCGAATTTTCAAAAAAAAAAACGGATCAAAAAGCCGTTTTGGGCAGTTTGGAAAATTTTGAAAGGAAAGTTGGAATTTTGAGGCGCGCGCTCTCCTTCAAAATAGTATATATTGGCGCCTACGACGCCTTTAGAAAAATTTTACGGTGGATTGGCCTAAAATGGATGTCATAAAAAATATCAAAGGGATGACCCTTTGGTTGATAAGGCGGTCGAATCCCTGAGGGGCGACGTCCCCCCTAAATCTGCCCCTGCTAGTAACCAATTCAATTGTTTTTTTTGTGGGCAGCTTCAACCTTCCAATTCAAACACCTAAAAAATATATTGGTGTCAAAAGACAGAAGGGCTGGTCACAATATATAATTTCTGCAAATGATGTCCTGCTCTACCTTTTACATGCTGCGGTCCTGTCTCTGTTATCTTTCACTGACACAAATGCAAAAGAGTTCAAAAAGAATATTCGAAACGACTTACTATCGGGTTCTGTTGTGATAATCGCACTCGTTTTTGCACAATTCCCGAAGAAACCATTGGCTGCAATAGTTATTTCACATTTCTGATTCGGAGTCAACCCGACTATTTTAGCTGAATAGTCATAACTAGTCACTCCTAACTCGGGCATATCATTTGTGAACTCATCTACCAAGTGGACTATACTCAGTGAGAAATTCTGCACTTTCACTATTTCCTTATGATTCCATGAAATCAAACTTTCTCGCGATGTCGTGTCTTCGTTGAAGTTGTTGAACGCATCCAATCTAACCTCTGCTCCCTTGCTCGGAAGAATATTTTTTGCTGTCAGGCGATTCAGAAGTGAAAAATTTCCTGCTGCTGTTTCCGAGAGAGTTTGAGAAAAATACAGACACGGAGATACATCCTTCATGACTGCATGCCTCTGTATTTTTCTCAAACTCTCTCGGAAACAGCAGCATGAAATATTTCACTTCTGAATCGCCTGACACTTCGCTTCCTATATTGCTAAAATGGAAAAAAAACACATAGAGGACCTGGATAACAACTTCTGGAGCTACATCACAATCGCCCTCCCCCTTCTTGAAAGGGGGGCGATTGTCAAGTAGATCACAATTTCCTTAAAATAACTAACCTCCCCAGTGTAAGTAAACAATTAGTGGTCAATTTTTTAGGCTTTTAAAAAACAATCCCTCTTCCCCGTTCTATATCAGTATATTAGTCCTTGAATTGCTCCTATAAATAAGAAACTAAGATACTCTGTTATTTTCACTGTCACTGTATTTTCTGATTTTATACAAATTGGCCCTATTACAATACTTTTGAACTGATATATTTGATCTGCTTATCTTATCTTAACATCCAGTTCCAATAAGAAAGGTGGCAACTGCTTTGAACTTACAAGGAGTAGTCGAGATGTATTTGCTCTACGAAGTCTTCTTTGAGGAACTTGCCAAACACTTCGAAAGAGCAGGGTGGGCCTCGGTGCATCAAAATCCACGCGTTCTCAGGTTTCTCGGGAACTGAAAGAAACACCTGCTGATGCCTAATCACGTGTATAACAATACACCGTACCAAGTAACATTACCCTTAGGACTTTTAGGATATTGCGAAACAAAAGAATGTACAGCTATAATTTATGCACTTACAGAATATGATTTTCTGATACTTGGATCAAAACATCCAACAGTTCTATTCACAGATCATAAACCAATCATTTTTCTCTTTACACAAAAGTCAAATCCCAATCACCGAGTTTATAGATTTCAATTAATTCTAAATGTCAACTAAATAAACTTTATCCAAATCAAAAACAAATAGCACAAAAACAAGATTTTAAAGGACAAAGTTTATATTTTAACCATCGTATTTCATTCGATACAAAAGGACCAATTTCACCATCCTCTGAAGGAAACTCCTACATTATGGTAAATGTTGATGCATTTACACATTATGTAGCACTCAACCCAGTACCACATTGTAACGCTTATTATGCTTACACAACACTTTATGAACACTGGATAGCTAAATTCGGATTACCCGAAATCTTAGTTACAGACAACGGTACAGAATTCATAAATAATGAAATCATCACACTATGTCACTTATATAACATCAAACACAAACCGCGTACATCTCATGCACCTTGGACAAACGGTTTAGTCGAAGGTATGAACCGTTCACTACAAGAATATCCTAGATGTATCATAAATGGAAATGATACAAGATACACAGAATGGTCAGCAAATGTAAAATTATTTCCCTTAGCATATAATTCACAAATTACGACAACTCTAGGATTGTCACCATACGAAATGGTTTTTAATCAAAAGCCACGTAAACCAATTATGTTTACAGCAAACTCTCATAAAAATGCACAAGGTAATTGCCAGCCAAATAAAGACTCAGTTTGTTATAACCTACCTTTACACACGCATGATGAAGATCATTTTCATCACCCACAAATCCTTAAATTAGCCTCCGGTACACACACCGAATGGAATTTAAATAGAGATAAAAAAAACAATGAAATTTACCAAAGAATAGCAACAAAACTGTTTCAAAGGCAAAACATTAACGAACAAATTAATTCACGCTTTACACCAGCCTCAGATTTAAAAATTGGAACATTTGTCTTATTACCTAATTTTAATACACAAAAAGTAATTTCTAAAAAATTACAACCCCTTCGCAAAGGACCATACCAAATAATTGCCAAACCCACTGACGTCACATATAAAATCACCGATTCAGACCAAAAACAAATTGTTCAACATCGGAACAATCTATTGCCTTACTACCCAAAAGAATACGCACTACGCGAAATAACTCAATTATATTCTTTCACAGGATTAAAAGTTATTCAAAATTACCCACATACGGAAAATGAAATAAATAAACAAAACGACATTCACCTTGAAAAACAAAATAAAAAACCAACTACAACCCAAAACAATACAAAAAAGCTAGATCAAAGAATACCTCAAAAAGAAAGGAAAAATAGAAAAATGATAGAAAAAATTATACCACAAGAACAAGTCGAGAAATCAGAACATAGAGAGTCATCACGACTTAGAAATCAACCACGTAAAAACTACAAAACATTCATCCCACAATCCAAAATAAAAGAAAGTTGAATTTCAAAAACAGTTTTAATTCAAAAATTAATACTCTTTGCACCTCCGAATCATTTTGAACTTTGATTTTTCAAAATAACATGCTGACAAACACGCAACGATTCTAGTTTAAATTTAGCCAATAGGATTCATTCAATCCATCCCCTTCTATAACTATAACACCAACTTATTAGCCGAAAGATATTCAACTCCGGGCATATCTATAACTATAACTTTGCAACCTCCAGGTCAAAAATAAGCAACTTGCTAAAACTTGACAACTAAAAAAAATACCACCATAATATTACAACCCTCCCCTATCTAATAACGCAAAGATCAACAATTTTTTCCCAACTCAGACCTCAAAAACCCTCCAACCAAAAATCACAAATTAGCCTAAAGTAAAAAAGGACCATAATCATATAGCCTGAAATACAAAATTCTCAAAAATACCCCAGATCATCTGACAAATAAAAATAAAGCAAAGAAGATCTCTCGAACACCATAAAATTAGCCCCCAACAATTTTTCACAAAACTCAACCCACTTGTCAAAAATCAATAAATGACTCGACCACACTTGAAAATCGCCCGAAACAACAAAAAATATTCGACCAAGAAGTCATTTCTTAAATGTTCTTCTCTCGATCAGTCAATATCTTTAAACATACAATTTTCAACATTTTTATAAATTTTTTTCACAATACTTAAACTTTCATTCATACTTCTCTTTGATACCTTTGAAGCCTTTATAATAATTTTAATCATTTTTTGCAATATTTTTTAAATTTTTTACTCCATATTTGAAATATATCTCCAACTTTCCCAAATCATTGACCATATTCACAGGTACGATAAACCAAAGTTTATTTGAATGATACGAACCATTTTTAGTAGAACAGATATTTTTTTACTATTTGTAATTTTTATAACTTTTTTATTAACCCTAATATTGACAATATGCAAATGTATAAAAAAGGCAATCATAACATTCGCTTTAGCAACAATCCTTTTAATTATTTTCCTTGAACAATACTACAATAAACATAAAGTTTTTCACTAAGAAAAATCAATCAATACAACCTTTAAAAATTGCTAACCAACAATCACACAGTCAGTCTTCACCGACACCATCCCAAGAAAACCCGACAATACCTACAACTACCCAAAACCACCAAACATCGAAACGAATTTCTTTCCAAGATAACCCATACACTTTTGAAGAACGACACGCTCGCTTATCTGTACCATTAGAACCAGTTCAGCGACATGCACCCCTAAGTGAACCAACATATAACTTGTACCCAACAATACCACAAGAATTAAGTAGAATAAGAAATATTAGTCAAAACCAAAATACAGTTGAAATAAATAGACAAATTATACATCCACGACGAAATAGAAATTTTCAAACCCCCCGAGTTCATTTTGATATACCCCAATCCCCATCACTAAGTACTCCAGAAAACCCAATTAGCATACTACCGGATACCCCTACACTTCTTTCACAACGTAGCACCTCAAGTATACCCTCAGATTACTTAGGTTCAACACCAACATCTGAACCAATAGGTGACAATCCCTTTAACCCCCCCCCCCCCCAATCAAACGTCACGACTACCATATTGGACAACACACTCATTCACACAAGGTGAACCAAATTTAATAAATGACCCAATAGATATTTCTACGGATACAACAACATCATCATCACTACCAGAAACATTATCACTACCGTCAACACCATCAATAAGCCAGATTTCACCGACGCCTTTCCCCCTAAATTTTCCAAATAACCTCGACGCTAGATATCGAGAACAATCATCAACAAATAATCCAATAGGATTAGATTGGAACACGTTCACAGCACCCCCACCATTATTCGGACAACATCCCGAAATTAACCGACTCCACAATTGGGCACTCCATAGACTACAATATAGACAAGACATCCACGAAGACATTCGTGACCATAACATCCAAGTACTCCAACAAAATAGTCTACAATTAAAATTCACGGTTAAACGGTTAAACTTAACAACATTGCTCAACATCATTACCCATTAAACCCACCCAATATAACAGCTCAATCGCTACCACCACCATTTATAACAACTGAAGTAATATATAAATACGACAGATACACCAAAAAGAGGATTGGTTACATCACATTTTATAACCCATACTCAGGATTATCATACACATGTATATTCTAAAAGTATTGATTATTCTACAAATCCTTTTACTAGCATTTTCCGATCAGAACACAAATCCTTCTCCTCGCACAGGACCCCAGGACTTATTAGTAACACAATACGATTGTGAAGAAAATGAACAAAAAACACTACACAAATATGCAATAAATCAAGTATCACAATGCGAAACGGAACCACAAGCTATAGAAACTACAAATGTAATAGCGACACCGTATTCAAAAGCCCGAGCAACAACAATCGCAGGATATAAATTTACAGCAACATTTTCCGAAAAGAAAGTACATTGTTCACAAGTTTCAAACGGAAATAAAAACCGACTTGACCACGAATCATTCTACCAAAGTAATATAGAACGACTTCTACATCTAAATCCCGATGATTGTAAAAACAAGCTACTCAGATTAAATATCACAAGAAATAAAAACACCGACATAAAACTAGTATATTTCAAGTCCTGCCGATTCTGTACATCAAGCAGAACTTGAAAGATATCAAGGACATATAAAACTAGATGAAAAATACCCATACAACGGCGCACACGGAAGATTAACTTATGACATACACGATAAGCACTGGATACCACACATTGGTATAAATAATCCATCAAACTGCAAAGCAGACACAAAAAAGAAAGGATATCAAGAAATAATGTTTTTCGATTGGAAAATACAACTCGAAAAAATACAACTCACACGAGATTTATCCGACAACACAATGATCTGTCAAGGAATTAGATTACCTTGTAAAAACGATCAAGGTTATTGTGATCCTACAACACGGACACAAGCAACAATTGTTTGGTTTCCCGAAGATACATGCACAACATTTCAAGTAGCAAAAATACACGCTCGAATGATAAAATTTCACGAAAAATATTTTATAAAATCACTTCCACATGAAAAAGTCCATCCATCACGAAAACAAAGTACTGATTTTCGAAATGTCCATTTTTTAGAAAATAAATTAACACGTTTCCAAATATATCAAGAAACAGAAATCGCATGCAAATACAGAAACCCACTTCACAAAACACAATATTCTGAAATATTAGTTGAATACGAAAAAGATTTCGACATGACCACTGGAAAAATAAAAATTGACCCTTATGCCACAGGTCACTCTCTACACGAGGGAACATCATACATACCAGTTAAATTTCAAAAATAATCAACCTGGTGGAAATGGTCAACCTG